GATCTACTCAATTTCCGCCTTCTGCCTAATGGAAAATTCGTGCGTAAAGGCAATTCTCCTTTCCGTCGCAGAAGCTATTTGGATCTTTCTTCCGATTCGGCGCTGGAAACATGCCGAAAAATTTCCTCTTCCATGGAGGCCAACCAGGTTAGTGTTTTTCGATGGTTTTACTGTCGCACCTTTATTCATGTTTTAATAAGTACAGCCTGAATCGTTATATCATTCGAATCTGGCAGTCGGTCAATTCCCCTCTTATGTTTACAATTAACCCCTTCGTATATGTGTTCTAAGCTGTTCACGCCGCTAACTTCACGTGTGTTTATGACCCTGTCTCCAAGCAAAGTTTACTAGTTTTCATTTGAACTCGAAAATTGGTGTTAAATAGCTTCTGTTGCCTAACTTCATCAATATTTTGCTTTGTAGCTCACTCCTATTGACGTGAATCCTAAGTATCTGAGTCGAGACTATCTCAGGCAGTGGCACAATCAGCGATGGGAGCAGAACAAACTGTTTTCGGAATTCTTCACTTCCCATTACAAATATCGGCTCAATCAAGATGGCCAAGAATACCGATACAGCGGATTATGGCGTTTAGATGATGCCATGCGGCAGTCTATTAGACAACGCCTTAATCCTGACGGGACGTACAAGCCCAGAAACAATTCTAGGTTTGAAGCTGACTGGAATACCTATCCTTGGTCTTTCTACTGACCGAATTTTTACATATGTTCAGCGTGTGCTCATATATTTAACTTTTCTCTGTATAATTCTACATCATGCTTGTGTTTTGCTTTGTTTCTTTAAAGTAGCAGTGTATAATGAGTTGATTTTATTCGACAAAATGGTCAATTGTTAGTCGAAGCATAAAGCACAGGCGTTTGTTGGGTCGACCTACGCACTTCCTAGAATAAGTACAGTTGCCCCATCAGCGGCCTACTTGTTTCTTCAAGTTTAAATGTTTAAAGTATGAGTTACTGGTTCAGATATGATGTTCTTGCTTTTCACCATTCGGTATTGTGTTTCTTTCATTCTTCTTTTGGGCCGTGGTTTTCAATACACTTCCTAGACGACTCTTCCTTGACTGTACACTTAATGCACTAACTAAAGTATTCAGTTACATCTAAAGCCTTAGGCATTTGTATTTAATTGGCTGCGTTTAAAAAGTTAGTGTCCCCTAGTCCACTGCAGTCTGCACAATTCAAGTTTAGCACAGGAGCACACGATTTTTGATGAAGTATACTTTGGAATGATGAAGTCTGCCCCCACTAATATTGACGCCATTACCGTATTCCTTAAA